CTAGTTACGAACAAAAGAAACCTAAACAGAAACACCAGCAGGTTATTGAATTTACCAAAAAAAAAATAAAAATGATTAGCGAACTAACCATCATCCTACTTTATCTCCTTCATAAGCTAACACATTTCAAATACTCTCGTACTCTAGCAAACTATTACAGTTGCTCCACCCAGTTACATCGAGCACAAAAGTCAAACATCAGGGGTAGTTTTTGTACATTGATATTTCCCTTGAGGCTGGTTTGCAATTAAGTATTAACCCATAGAACTAGGGTAGTTTTTGTAATTTAATTGTACAACTTTGTCGTCATAGACTTTCAGTGGCTGAAGAATTCATGTGTATCGACTTTTTTCGCAGGCTATGGGTAATACCCCTGTGGAAGGAATGCCAGAGCTTTCTGAGGCTGACATGATTGTGTTTCTTGGGGACTTCAACTATAGGCTAGATGGCATATCTTATGATGAGGCTCGTGATTTCATCTCACAGAGATGCTTTGACTGGCTCAGGGAGAGGGATCAGCTGCAGGCAGAAATGAAAGCCGGCAATGTTTTCCAAGGAATGCGAGAAGCTATTATAAGGTTTCCACCGACTTACAAATTTGAAAAACACCAGCCTGGTTTAGCAGGTAACATTACAAGTGGGGATTCCATCCGTATCTTTGTGACTCGAGACATTTTTTTGTTTCAGTGAAGATATCTCTGCTTAGATACCTCATAATAATCTTATACTTATGGAATACGATTTTGATTTGTTTATTTTTCTAAGGGTATGATTCCGGGGAGAAAAAACGAATTCCCGCCTGGTGCGACAGGATTTTGTATCGAGATACCCGTTCGGCTTCAGTTTCTACTTGCAGCTTAGACTGTCCTGTGGTCGCATCAACATTGCAGTAGGTTTTCCAGAACCCTGTTTGAAAATTATTCCTGTGTGAAATTATATGTTTTATCGTTAATTATTTAGTTTTGAGGCGCCTGGACCATATATACTTTTCTGCTATCAATTTTTATTATTTTCATATTTTATTTTTTGGCCATGTATTATTTATTTGTTTGAATTCTTTTCTTGAACTTTTCCTCCTGAGAGGCATGGATATGTTTCTATACTCTAGTATATATTGTAACTGCATATTCTCTTCATTGGCTTTCTTTACGAAATTGAATTGTCGTTTTAGTTAAATACAAACGGAAATCACTTCCCTCCCTCACTTGCACTATATCTGTCTCAGGTCATCTGCATATTTTGTGTGTGTGTGTTTACCCCTTTTTTTAGTTTTATTTTTTCTACCATGCTGTTTTGAAGGCTCTGACATAATAATATAATAGGTATGAAGCTTGCATGGATGTTACGGATAGCGATCATAAGCCCGTGCGCAGCATTTTCAGTGTTGAGGTAGCTCGGGTAGATGAGTCGGTAAGAAGACAAGAATTTGGAGAAATCATTAGGTCAAATGAGAAAATCAAGAGTCTACTAGAAGAGCTATCAAAAGTTCCGGAAGCAATCGTCAGTACGAACAACATAATCCTTCAGAATCAAGATACGTCGATATTGCGGATAACAAATAAATGCAAGAAAGGCCGAGCTTTCTATGAAATAAGTTGCGAAGGCGTGTCTATCATTAAGGAGGATGGGCAAGCATCTGATCATCGCCCGAGAGGTTCTTTTGGGTTCCCCAGGTGGCTTGAGGTAATTATCAATTTTATTTTACAAATCATTGATATTTCTGTCATATTTATGGAAATGAGCAATTGTAGTGGCAATTTATTTTAATTATGGTTC